CCAGGTGCTCATCCAGCCGCGGAGACACCTTTTTACATCGCTGCGGCGAGCGTGTCTGCACGCGGCGATGCTCAATGTGTATGGTCACATGAGAGCTCCATCTCATCGTCCTACGAGAGGAAACATGGCAGTGCTCGATCCCACATATTTACATCCGTTAAAACAAGAAGAGTAAAGCTCGTGGGCTCGAAACGAATTACAAGCAAAAGGGAAAAGCAATTAATAGCAAAGCTTACACGACGGCCACAGTTTCTGCAAAGCACGCTCGCGCAACTTAGCTCTGTGCAAGATGCCTCTGCGCAGCTTGGCTCTGTGAAGGTTGGCTCTACGCAAGCTACTTTTCGCGAGTGGCTCAGCGCAACTCGCTCTGTGCAAGCTGGCTCTGCCCGAGTCTGCTCGGCGCAATGTGCTTTGCACGAACTGCGCCGCGCGATTTCTCACGAAAGTGGTCTGCGCAAGCTGCATTGTTCCAGGCTGCTGCGCGCAAGTTGCTCTCTGCAAGCTGCTGCACGCAAGTGCTCTATGCAAGTTGCTCTGCGCAAGTGCTCTGAGCAAGTTGCTCTGCGCAAGTGCTCTGCGCCAGTTGCTCCGTGCAAGCGCTTTGCGCATGTGCTCTGTGCAAGTTCGTCTGTGCAAGTTGCTCTGCGCAAGTGCTTTGTGCAAGTGCTCTGTGCAAGTTGCTCTGCGCAAGTGCTGCCGGAGCTGTGGGAATGTACTTCGCGTACTATTTTTGTACGTAAAAGTTGCGATTTTCCAGCTGGAGCTGCGGGAGTGTGCTCCGCGTACTACGTCTGTACTTAAAAGTTGCGATTTTCCAGCCGGAGCTGCAGGAGCACGCTCCGCGTACTACGTTTGTACTTAAAAGCTGCGATGTTCAAGCCGGAGCTGCCGCGGACCAGGGGGGAATCGAACCCGCGACCGCGGGATTGCGAAAGCAGGCGCGCAAACCACGAGACAACTTCCAAAGGCCATCTCGCGAGCAACCAAATCGCACGGCGCCACAGCGAGAGCGCTTCGACACGCACGATCTCCGCAGAGGGTTCGCCGAGACTAAGAACAATTCGCACGGCGCCACAGCGAGAGCGCTTCGACACGCACGATCTCCGCAGAGGGTTCGTCCGGGAATGTCAAAAACGCAAAAAAACTCGATATTTTGCACCTCGACCAGGCCGATCCCCGCAGAGGGTCGCGCGGGCATATCAAAAAACGTAAAAAACCTCGAGTTTTTGCACCTCGACCACGCCAATCCCCGCAGAGAGTCGCAGAGGGTCGCGCGGGCACCGCAAAAAACGCAAAAAAAAACCTCAAGTTTTTGCACCGCGACCACGCCGATCTCCGCAGAGGGTCGCGCGGGCATATCAAAAAACTTGAAAACCTCGAGTTTTTGCACCTCGACCACGCCGATCCCCGCAGAGGGTCGCATTCCCGATCGTCGGCAACATGCCCACCCCCCGCCAAGAAAGAGATTCTTAATACCGAGCTCTTTCTCTTTCTTTCCCGCGCGTTAAGTACTTAACCTAACTTACTTAACCTAGCTTACACAGCGGCTAACGCCGAGCCTCTACACCTAGCTTAGCTTAGCTCTATGCACCTAGCTCTATGCACTTGCTCTGCGCAAGTAACTCTATGCTGGTGACTCCATGCTGGTGACTCTGTGCAAGTATCTCCATGCTGGTGACTCTGCGCAAGTATCTCCATGCTGGTATCTCCATGCTGGTGACTCTGCGCAAGTATCTCCGTGCTGGTGACTCTGCGCAAGCTACTCTGCGAACTTGACCAAGAGCTCCTGGTATCTCCATGCTGGTGACTCTGCGCAAGCTACTCTGCGCAAGTTGACCAAGAGCTCCGCACGGAAGAACCCTTCGCAATGCTTTCGGGAACAAGGTACATTTGTCATCATAGATATAGATAGGTATATATAGATATACAGTAGATAGATATAGGTAAATGAAGATAGATACAGATAGAAAGGTGGATGGATGGATGGATGGATGGATGAATGGATGGATGGATGGATTGTTCGACAGACAGACAGATAGATAGAAAGATATCTAGATGTCTAGATATCTAGATAGATAGATAAATAGACAGATAGCTAGATAGATAGATAGATAGATGCATGAATGGATACAGGTAGATATAAATAGATAGATCTGGGTAGATATAGATAAATCGATGGAAAGACAGATAGATACATAGATAGATAGATGGATGGGAAAATGGATGGCTGGATGGATGGATGGATAGATAGATAGATAGATGATTTCTGAAATGGAGAAATAGATGGAGCTAGATAGACACAGGTAGAGATAGGTAGAGAAGACATACTCCAGACATATACTGGAAGTGTACTAGACACACGCTAGACACATGCTAGAACAATACAAGACATAGAGAAATGCTCCAAACTAGAACTATCAAAGAAAACACTAGACCTTTATCAGAAAGATGCTAGACATCCAGAAGTTTGCTAAACATATGCTACAACTATACCAGACATGTGCTGGACATATGCTAGAACTATATGGTAGATGTGCTAGAAATGCGCTAGACATATGCTAGAAGCCTGCCAGCTAGAAGCAGGGAATGCTTCTGGGAGGACAATCTTTTTCAGTAGTGTCTGCTTGCAACAGGCTAACAATTTTGGGCACAACACTCAAAGCAATAAAGGGGCATTGCCATGTATGCCTACTTCTGACTCTCAATTTGTTTGACATGTTCATGATCTGTATCCTTGCTTGGCCAGTTTTGCGCAAGCCCGCCAGCTAAGTGTAGAAGCAACAACGCACCGCAAAAGCCTTTAGGTGAAAAAAGCGCACATGTTGTCTCCTGCGCAGCTCAAATGTCACGGCGACCCGCTCTCTTTGTTGGTGTCCTAGCCCCATGGTGTCCTGTGGTGTCTCGGTGTCGGTGGTGTCTTGGTTGTGTTGTGTTGGTGTCCGGTAGTGTCCCGGCGGTGTTCTGATCCTTTGTTCCTAGTGCTGTCCCGGAAGTGTTTAGGCGATGTCCGCGTAGTGTTCGGCTGGCGTCCCGGCCGTGGATGATGGTGTTTGGCAGTGTTGGTGCGTTGATGGTGTCTTAGTGGTGTTCAGCGGGTGTTCTGAAGGGTGTCGCAGTGCCAGTGGTTTCCCACTGGTGCTCTGGTGTCCCAATGGTTTGGTAGTAGTGGTAGTAGTAGTGGTAGTAGTAGTAGTAGTAGTAGTAGTAGTAGTAGTCTTGGTGGCATGTGGTGTTGCGGCTGTGTTTTGGTGGTGGCCTGGTTGTGTTGCTGCAACGAGCGTCCCGGTGGTGTTTTGGCGGTGTCCCGTTGTTATGCGCCGGTGTTGCCCCAGTGCTTTGCCAGTCGTAACCTGGTGTTGTCTCGTCGGTGCGCTGGTGGTGTCCCCATGGTATCTTGGCGCCGGTGTCCCGGTGGTGTTCTGGTTGTCCTGATGCTAACCTGGTGGTGGTGCGGTGGTGTCGGCGTGATGCTGCGCCGCAGGTTGTGTTCTGTTCCGCTGGTGGTGTTCCATAGTTCGGTGTTGCCCCGGTGATGGTGGTGTCCTGGCGGCGGTGATACTCGTAGCGGTCTCCCAAAGGTGGTGTCCCTGTGGTGGTGTTGCGGAGATGGCATGCCGTGTTTTGGCGGTGTCCTGCTGGTGTTGTCACGGATGTTTTGGTGTTCCGGCGACGCAGTGTCCTGGTGGTCCCCTTGGAGTCCAGGTGGTGGCTCGGTGGTGTTCCGGTGGTGTTCCGGTGCGTTGTCGTTATGTCCCGTTATGTTCTGGCGGTGTCCTAGTTGTGTCCCAATATTGTGTGCTCCGGGCGGCGTCTTGTTGCTTTTTCGGCGGAGTCCCGGTGTCATGTCGTGTCTCTGTGGCGTCGCGGTGTTTTAGTTGTGCGCCTGGTGTGTCATGCATGTTGGTACCCTGATGGTGTCCTGGTGTTTTGCTCCGGTGGTGTCCCGGTGTGTCCCAGTAGTCTCCCGCTGCCCCGGTGAGTTTTCCGGTGGTACTGTAGGTGTTGTTGGCCGGTGGTGTTCCGCTGCGTCCTAGTGGTGTTGCGGTGTCCAAATGGTGCGTTGGTGTGTTATGTCTCTGTGGCGCGGGGGATTGTTTTTCAGGCGGTGTCCTGGTGGGGTTCCGGTGTTGCGTCCCTGCGGCGACCCGGTGCCAGTGCCCCGGTGGTGGTGTCCTGGTGGTGGTATCCAGTAGTGGCCAACCTGTGTCGCGGTGGTGTCGTTGTTATCTTCCGAAGGTGACCTGGTTGTGGTTTGCTGCTAATGGTAGCCTGGTGGTTGCGTCCCATTTCAATCCCGGTATCAGTGGTGCCCCGGCGTTATGTTTGATCACTTTCTCAGTGATATTACTTGGTGGCATCCTGGTGGTTTGCATGCGGTGTCACTGCGGTGTCCTTGTGGTGACCACGTGGTATTCAAGTCGCGGTCAGTGTTCCAGTGTTCTGTCAGTGTGCCGGTTGAAGTGGCAGTGTCCCGGTTGGCGTTCCATTGTCTGTCGCTGGGTTTACTTTCATCAGTTGGTGGACACTTCAATGCCTTCCCAAAGACCTTATGCAGCAAATATTTGTCCTCACATGTTGATTGCCCAGGGTACTCTCCCACCCACAAACCTGGAATAGGGATGAATTTTGATGGCCCAGGGAATACGGATGACAGCTTTTCCTTTGCAGGGACCATCAAGAAAGGACTGCCTCCCAAAGCATCTAAAGACAGAACGGCTTCTGGATCCTGAAAGCCAATTCTGCAGGGAAAACACTACCCATGATTCTGCACATTGACACCGGTCGCTTACGACATTGTTGAGCGGTTCGCACACACATACGTCCTACACGCAGCCGCGGAGGTCACCGCCACTTTCTGGGCGAATAGCCACCCCGCATGGAACGCAATCCATCCATGCACCCACAAAAAGTTGGAATCCGCATGGCACACCAACTCCAACATAAAGCTGCGGCGACTTCAACAAGTACGTGTATGCTGGCCAAAGTTGATCTATGCCCGGCCTTTGCTCCCTGGCGAAGGCCTTCACCGGTCACGGTCTGACCACTCAAACGCCTAGGCGCATGTTCCGGGCAAACAACAACTCGAAAGCCTGCAACGCAACTAGTTGAAGGGGTGCACGAATGCGCTGCGTTCCACACAGGAGCTCAATCTGGTCGCCCTTTCTGCGCGGCTCACATTTCGGGAGTTGGTATGGCCCTTGGCAAGCAGGATACTTGTGGATTTGCGCAAGGCTAGCATTCCCAGAATGAATCCTCTGCGCGGAGTAACCTGCTCTCAATGCACTGAGCAACCTTGCCTACCCGGCGGCCGCGTTGGCCGCCAGGGTTGGTCCTGTCCAATTGCTCAAAATTCAGCGGGCGAACGCCCAATGCTTGGGATGACCTTCAGGGCATCTTTACTTTGAATCTGCTCAGTACACACTCAGTACACATTCAGTACACATTCAGTACACACCTTGATGCTGAAACTCCGTCAAGCCGCACGCTTGAAAGTCAGCACCCAAGCGCTCAGCCGCTGCAAGCTACACGCCTGCAGGGGAGGAGGGCTAAAATCGGTGCCCGGGGCTAGGGCTGTACATGCGCCGGGCTTAAACTCGGCGGATGTTGGTGACCTGGGCGCAGTTGTACACGACATACTCGGTGCCAGAGTCACGACCAAGAATCTTCACGGAGTCGTAGCCCTCGGACACGAGCTGTGTGAAGGTGGTGCTCCCTTGGCGCTGAACCACCTTCATGCGACCCACACGCACAGTGGCCTTCAGCATCGCCCCACGCTGATTTGCCTTCCTGCGGGCCTCAGCCGGGCTCTCTGCGAAGTAGATGCCCCCGCCAGCCAGACCGCCTTGGCCCCGGAGCATGCGCTGCGAGCTCAAAATCCTCTCAGCCGCCTCCTCACTGGTCTCGTGGTAGAGCTCCAGATTCAAAGAGTGGTCTCGTGGGGCTCTCACCAGAAGCGGGTGGGCGGCACCGGGGAAGGGCGCGGCCAGCGACCCCAAGAACGTGCCGTCCTGCAAGATGGCACCCAGGCAAATGCCGCCGACACTCACTGTGGACACGCGGGGCGGCCCAGACCTGTCCTCTCGGACGATCACTGGCAGTCCTCCCAAGACAAGGGGGTGGCCGAACATGGCGAGGGGGCGTGGACGGGTCAACAAACAGCCTCGCAAATGCAGCCATCAAACACGACGAATGGAACGCGTGAATCTCATGCCCAACGTAGCTACTGCGTTGCGATGCAGTTGGCAAGCATGGAGAGCGCGAATCAGCATCACAGGCCGCTCGACACATGTCTGACATCCCTGCGCATCTCAAGCTTTTGCCCTAGAGCTCCAAGACCATGGCCTAGCCGCCTGTTGGTTTTTTTGCAGTCGTCTCCGCTGATGCTCCTTTGATACGTCGCATTCCATCCTAGCCTGCGCAAGGACTGAAGTGCCCGCGCATACCTAAAACAACATGGTATGATTGCAACCTGACAGTGGCAAGAGCACAGCAAATCGACGAAACGCACCATGCGCAAACCACGCCTGAAGTCAATGTCGCTGAAGCCGAGACAGGGGTCTGAAGCAACACCTCATCATGGCTTGTGACACTCAATACACATCTGCGCGCCCCGATCTAGCTGAATGCTACACAGCAACTGACTGGGCGTGTGTGCGCGCCGTTACGTCTCCAGATCTTTCCTGTTGGCAAGGCTAAGCGCCCTGCCTGTGGAGGCTCACAAGGTGAGCCTGGTAACCCAGGAGCAGTAACGACCCCACATGCGGCTTTCCGACCTTCAACACCTTCATCTTGTTCGGGCTTTGAAATACTTTGCCCACTGTCTTTTTCCCGCTCGTTTTTGTCCTCGCACCCCCCTGTGAGCCCTGAATCTCCTGTCAGTCTCTCACCTTGGCTTTCCGAGGCTTCACTACACCCTTCTTCACTCTTTACTGGGAATGGGCACAGCAGCCCCGACGCATTTGCATTTGGTCTATCCTTTTGAGCCTTATCCCTGAAAACAACGAACAGCAGCGACAGGCGGTGAATCTGCTCGCCGTGCTGGAAGCGCAGTTCGCCGTTGTAAACATGCTTGTGGCGTTTGAAAGAGGTGTGACCGCCGTGCTGCACGATAAGAGCATCAGATTTCAGTCGAGCAGCTCAAAAAAAGCAAAAGCAAATGCAAACAGGCACTGCCAACCAAAGTTTGCTTGTTGCACCTCCGAGCTTCCGCATCAACTCAACTCGGCAACCCACGCGAGCTCACTTCTAAGGCAAGGACATCTGGAATTGGTGAGTCCCCTATCTTTTTCAGGGTGTCCACTGGGCAGGCAACCCAAGAAGGTTCTGGCAAGGGAGTCCACAACAAGAAAGTCTTCGCTGGCAATGGGCTTTCCAACCAGTTGTCCACTGTCCGAAGCACTCAGAGCGACAAGGCTGCTTTCTTCATAAGAGGTTTCTATTGCGATATGGGCATGCGCGCAAGCAAGGGTCAGCAGCTCAGTAACTTTTGACACATGTTAAAACAGCGCCGCTACTGCCACTGGCGCTGCTGTTGCTATCCTGGGGGAAACAGCCCCGGCAGCTTGTTGCTGCCGCTGTCGACGCCGCCTTCTCTCAATTTGTGCTAGCCGTGCTCTGGTGCCTCCCAGAAGGGCCCCTCCTGTCAAAGGCTCTTGCAATATCTCTTTCGAAAGCTGCCAAATCGGCCGTATCCTTCGCACTGCGCGCCGTTGCGGCACATGCTACTCCAACTCTAGCCTTGCAGTGTGCTTCGAGCCACCAACAGGGCAACCGGTTTCACCGGGCACTCAAATAGCTATTTCCGTTAGCGCTTCGTTATTGCTTGGGTTATTGTTGGGGGTGCCCTCTGAGACTGGAATTCTGCCTCCGCATGCAACAACATGATGGGAGCCTGTGGCACACTACCCCAGGGCCGCGCTTTTTACGCTGCAGGGCCCGTCCAACATCTTCCATTCTCAAGGACATGCAACGCCTGCAGCCTCTGGTTTGCATTTCGCACTGGCCAGCAAAAACCCTATAGGCACTTCTCCGCTACTTGCTCCCACAAAAACCAACATGAACGCTGCCATGCACTCCTGCGCCATCCTGACCGCCGGCGTGGATGAGCAGCAACCCTACAAATACTCCATCACTACTTCCTTCCAAAGCAGCTTCCCATCAGTGAGCTTGATCCTTTCTTCAAGCTTCCAAGCCATCTGGAGCCACAGTGCAGGCTGCAAATCGCAATTCCTACTACGTACACAGCAGGACATATTTGCATAAGATCGCACGGGTCGAGACATCGTTATCGTTCTTTTAGTCAGCCCCCTGTCGTTTTTCGTGGTGTTCAGCCTGCCTAAGTTGATGTCCCATCCCTTACGTACATGTTGCTTGCGCGCATATTTTGAAGGAACCTCATTTAGAAAAATGACTGTGCAAACATGTGCAAACTCAGGCCGCCTTTCTATGTCGGCGGCAAGCCGGAGGCGATAAATTTTGATCTGGGCCCGGCCTTGGCGAAGGCCTTCACCGGTCACGGTCTGACCACTCAAACGCCTAGGCGCACGTTCCGGGCAAACAACAACTCGAAAGCCTGCAACGCAACTAGTTGAAGGGGTCCACGAATGCGCTGCGTTCCACACAGGAGCTCAATCTGGTCGCCCTTTCTGCGCGGCTCACATTTCGGGAGTTGGTATGGCCCTTGGCAAGCAGGATACTTGTGGATTTGCGCAAGGCTAGCATTCCCAGAATGGATCCTCTGCGCGGAGTAACCTGCTCTCAAGGCACTGAGCAACCTTGCCTACCCGGCGGCCGCTTTGGCCGCCAGGGTTGGTCCTGTCCAATTGCTCAAAATTCAGCGGGCGAACGTCCAATGCTTGGGATGACCTTCAGGGCATCTTTACTTTGAATCTGCTCAGTACACACTCAGTACACATTCAGTACACATTCAGCACACACCTTGATGCTGAAACTCCGTCAAGCCGCACGCTTGAAAGTCAGCACCCAAGCGCTCAAAGGCAGTGGGGTCCCTGCACCGCCCCTGCAAGCTACACGCCTGCAGGGGAGGGGGGCTAAAAATCGGTGCCCGGGGGCTAGGGCTGTACAGAAACGTGTTCACCAAGCCAAGCGAGTCCAGCTACACGCCCAACGGGGGCCTTCTCAGTCGGTGTCACTCTCCTCGTAGAGTTCCTTCACCTCCTCAACATCCGGATCCACCGCCTCATGCTGCATCCATTCCGCATTCCTCACCTGAACACTTCCCAAAATAAGTGTCCTGTTATCTTTACTGGGTAGGCTTCATATCTTGCTTCACATATCCCTGTCTGACTCCAGTTTAACAACCTTGTAATATGCGTCTTTGGTAACTGCTCACCTGCTCATGGCCGGCATGCAGCCAATGCCCCCCCCGAGGCTGCAGGACAAAGACATTGGAGAAAACCATATCCAGAAACAGGATGGTCTTGGCATGATAGATGACTCGAAGTTGCTCCGCACTGGAAGAATCATCTGAATCTTCTCCAGTGGAGATGTCCAAAACAAGCCCGGCATCCACGTTCAGGCTCGGCGGATTGAATGACACGGGCAAAATCAACTGAGGTGTTCCTCTGATCGTCCCCTTGTCACAAAACCATTGGCTAAGGGCAACATTGGGATTCTCCCTGGCACGTTCAATCGCATCGTCCACGCAATCTCGCAACTCTACCTTACTCAAGTGTCTTGCGTTCGCAGGTACACGTTGTCGGTCAGGTAATTCCTCATCATAAATGTGCTCATAGAAACCTCCAAACTCGACACTGGCCTCTGGGTCGAAGGTAAGGTACCTACACTGTGCGATTAGCCAGAGATGCCAGAGATCCTATGGAAGGCACTGCTCAAAATGACCAGGCTTGAAAAAAGGAAACACAACAATGACAACGAAAACAACAATGACCACAACAACAACGACGACGACAACGACGACGGCCACGACCACGACCACGACGGCAGCGGCGGCGGTGACGACGACACTTACAACGACGAT